AAAAAAAATAATAATAATAATAATAATTGAAAGGTAAATTCACGATAAATATTACATGAATTTTGCCTAATCCCACACTTAATGTGAACCCCCAGACAATAATCATGGATGATACGACAATTATGGGTGGGAGTGGGACAAAACTTCTTCACATTTGGACATGTAAATTCAATATATGTATATCGGTTTTGCTACGGAGTCATCGAATGGCTCGGCTTATGGAACTATCTATAGTTTTAGAGTAAATTGTACTTGATATAGTAGGTAGAAATTAATCGACTTGTGCAATTGGATAACCAATTAGACATGAGAATCGGGTCTGACTGGCTGCGAGGATTGGTTTGCTAACCGATCAGTATAATTGGATGACTACGGGTTTTGAGTCCAAGGTCGGGCCAGAGTATCGAGCAGCCATTTTCCAGGCCTTCCGCAAAAAGTCGTTGACTCTGCAGACTCAGAACTAGGACAACTCGACCGGGCTCTTGGTGACTCAATATTTAATTCTGAAGGTTCAACAAGTAGTTAAAAATATTTTGTCTCTGGTCCGGTGGGTACCTGAAACGGAAACTGTCATCTCCCTAGTTCAGACTCTTGAACTGGAATCGTCTTTGACATGTCGGTTCCTAGTTCACTTTTACAATCGAATTTTCGTCACTTGAGGTTTGATTTTTTGAATGAGGGAACCCTTTGCCGGGGTTTTGAATATTTAAAATACCATAAAACAATATATTTGAGTTACTTAAACTCAATTGTTTAAATAATTTGTTTGACTACTTATACAAACGTCCGTAAAAAAGTTCTACGGATCCGATAATATTTGAGTTATTTAAATCCAATTGTTTCAATGTTACATTTATTCACATATATAACTTCGAATTATATCGTTCACCTTTCGTTTTTACGGAACATGGAACCGTAAAATCAATACAAAACCAATTTTCTTACTATAATTTGGTATTAAAGCATTCAGTCTAAATATACAAGTGATCATTTATATACATGATTCAAGTTTCAATTCTCAAAATGTCATCCAATTTAAATAAATTAACTACTGGCTGGTCTGCTCATGCATAGTTCCATATTCTATTTACTTTTTTTTTTTTTTT